CCTCGGAGTGATAGAAAATATAGGTAGCCTTCGATAGCCATCGAATGCTACAGGACTTATCGGCTCATAAGCCGTTACACCAAGACCTTGGTAAATTCACCCAATATTTCAAAGCCTGGCCCCATATGCAACGTAATGGAAATTTAAAGTCAAGTATCAAGCTTGCTCGAAGCTCTGGAGGATGCTCGCAAGGCAGTAGGTCAGAAATCAGTGGGAATAGTCGGGAAATTGGCGCCATCGTGGAACGAGGAGTGCAAGATAAAGCACCTCGAGTAAAAGGAATCCAGAGACGACCCGGAAAAAGTAGCTCAGGCACGGAAAAGATTTAGAGCTACTGTTAAAGAGACAAAAAGGAATCACTGGGGGAAAAAGATTCAGGATGCCACCACAGACACCCGGGTGTTCAAGGTAATGCATTGTGCCAAACCCAAGCCATGTCGAGAACCTCCTCCCTTGAATGTTTCGGAGGACAAATGGATATCGGATCCACTCGAGGGGGCGGAAACTCTGCGAGATATCCTGATGACAAGATTCAACGCGGCCCACGATCTCTCCACATGGGAGACAGAACAATCTGAGACTACTCCGTGAAACCAAACATTGTTGACAGAGGATGTAAGGTCGAGCACCATTGGAACAGGCGACAAGTCTCCAGGAGCAGACAAGATCACAGTTCGGTTGATTAAGGCGTGCTGAGTGCAAATTGGAGACCAAGTGAAGAACTTCTTCCAAGCCTGCTTACAGCTCAGATATTTCCACCAAGTTTCGGGTTGCAGAAGTCATCCTCATCTCTAAATGTTGGAAATATCGCGTAATGAAATGGGCGCAATATTCATGGAACGAAAGTAGAAGTTGACTAAAAGAGTGTCATGTTCGGATTAAAGCTAGAAGTGTGGGAATTATGCGCTACAATCACAAGAGTAAGCGACACGTAGCCTAAGCCACATCATAAATGAGTGTGGCGCCATCTAGGCATAGAAACCCCCCAATAACCTGCTTGTGCTCACGCAATACAGCCGCTCGTATATCCAATAGGTAGCCTGAAGCGCAACCATATTACCTATTCTAACCTCTTAAATACACGCGAGATCTTTTCAGGAACCTAGACGAAATTGGGGGCCTGTACGTTCACAACACTCCGTGTCTCCATTCCCAACACTAAGCCTGGACGAGACCTGGCAACAGCTAAGGGTTAGAGACCAATCTCTCTTGTCTTGGAAAAGGTTTGGAACGACTTGCTGCCAATAGAATGGCCTGGCTAGTATTAGAGTACCGAGTCGTTCCTCAACAGCTATTTGGCGCACTTCTGAGACGCTCCGCAGTCGAACAAGTCTTCTGTGTCATTCACGATCCAGATACGGCAATGCGAAGCAACAAGGTAACGGCCATGATTATTCTGGATGTACAAGGAGCCTTTGATGCAGTTCTGCACAAACGGCTGATCCATGGGATGCGGAATCAGGGATGGCCAAGGACACTTTGCCTGTGGGTAGAGTCTTTTCTAACCCAGCGAAGGATAAGGGTGCGGTGTCGTGATGGAACGACGCGGGATAAAGTCGCGGAGTGTGGAGTCCTACAAGGGTTGCCGCTATCACCTCTCCTGTTCTTATTATATATTTCAATACTATAGCAAGACGAGAATAAGAATACAAATTCTGGGTACGCTGATGATATCGCGATACTCGGCATAGGAAGCACAACGTCTGAGGCAGTGGCCGAAGCTCAAAAATAATTCGACAAACTAGTTCAGTTAGCGAGTGAAAATAGGATAGACTTCGACCCGAAAAAGTCTGAACTACTGGTAATTGGGGGAGGGCCGAAGAAAAAGCAAGACACTACAGGTCTAGCTTTTCAGATCTGAGGCCACAGCATAACCCCATCACCTTACGTGAAATAGTTGGGAGTATGGCTAGACTCCCAACTCAATTTCAAGTAACACGTCCAGGAATGGTGCGGGACGGCGCTACGTATAATACAGTTCATACGTCGAACAAATTCCGTACAGCACGGCGCAGCCCTGGGACCGATGATCAAAGCAGTGCAGGCTTGTGTCCTTAGTACAGCGCTATATGGAGCAGAAGCGTGGTGGCCGGGTCTTACTCGAATAACGACACTGCGAGATAAAGAAGTCGGCACTGGAGTAGGCTGGCATATATCTCTGCTGGAAAAAACGATAATGAAAGCTATTCGAGTAGCACTCCCAGCGTGGCGTACCACACCCAATAGCGGTCTTCATCGTGAGGCGGGAATACCCCAAGCATCGATAATTCTTCAACAAAATATGCTGCAGTCTGCATCTCGTATGCGAAGTTATGGTGGCTTTTTCTTCACCCCAAGTCAACCCTCATCCGTGAATACCCACTCAGGAGAACGTTTCAAGTACCCTGAGTTATCCAGAGATGCCTCCTTCATCCATTGACCTTTCACCGCGCGAAATGTGGTCTTAGATGTCTCCTTCCCAAGTGAAGTAGGTGCCTAGGCTACTCAGACTATACCAGAGAACACCATCAGGGGGCGGACCACGGCACCTTCCGTCGTTGACTTGTGATTATAGTGTCAGCTGCACTCTCGCAATCGATATCTTGGTACGCATAAAGCTCAATTTATGGTACTCCTTGCCTATATTCAAAATTTCAGGCCCGTCGAGATTATAGCTATCCTTTGTATCATCTTGTAAACTTGTCCTGGTCCCTCTCACGTCCATCCTAAAGAACTGTCTCCCAGATTTGTGCGCCACGCTTTGCATCCTCCGGAGGTTCCATATATTAGCGTGGGCGTGTATTTGGTGGTCAACTGAGGCCAGAGAAGGTCGAAGAGTGGTGTGATCATTGGAATGAGGATGTACTAGGTCGTACTTGCAGACTTGATAAGACTTAGGTTGGCGTCAGACTTTTTGGGAGCGAAAAAACGACGTAGTGGAGTAATTTGGATTCTTGCCTCGTGAGCCAACTTCTTTGATAGCGCGAAATTTGACTGAGCTTGGCTCTGGGAGAATATTCCACTCCCAGGTTCGTTGAGGATACCGCGTACAGGTGTTCAGTCTTGCTCTCCTCAGCACTCGATACGACGATGGTGGATTGGGTCGAGATAGCCTCTAATGCAACAAAGAAGAAAGATATAGGTGAATTTGTGCACCTCATGTGGTCCCGATTTCTAGGCCTCGCCTGGCTGGGGCTGCAGATTTTGAAGACTTTTCCTGTGTACTAAGTTCCAATTGCTACCTTTTTTTTTTTTTTTGGGTAAAAGGTTCCGTGGAAAAGGTGGCTAAATACCACGGGTAAAAACTGAGCTGAATGGCTAATTCATCACGGGCTATATATCAATGATCTTTCAAGTAAAAAAAGAGGCAAGGAGCACTGTATAAGGCGTGGCCTAGGTCAGAGAGGAGCCCAGTGTGCTATATAGTCTATGATTCAAGCAATACAATATAAACACCACATCAAATTCCAATGTTTAGAACTCTCGGTAACTCAGTTCCTGGCCAAGATGGCCAATAAGTTCACGTATATTACAATTTTAATATTCGGAGTACGGCAAAGGCGGCGCGTGAACTTTGGAGGCAGACTACGGCGATGGACGTGGGAGATGCATGGATAGATATCAAGTAAACCCCCCAGTAATTACGCAGCCTTAGATCAAGTAAGATTTCGACTCCTGTGAGTTTTACCATTGAGCATTGTGCTCTACACAACTTGGTTTTCGAGATTTTAGGTGACACTATAAACACCATCATGGCTATATGGTGCGATGGTATACTGTCCAGGCTCTTACGCTTAGTTGAACTGGGATAGCTTGAACACATATTTCACCTGAGCCAGGAGATTGTTGTTTTGAACGCAGCACATTCTGCATATAATTCTGGCGATGCTGATGCACAGGATGAAAAAGGGGTTGAATCTTCTCTTTGGTGGGTCCTCCGGAAGAGAAGTCGCTTTAATAGAATGAAAAACGCACCTGTCAGGAGTGCCTTGCATGCAATCTGTATCTGTTGAGGTGTGGTAAACAACAGCGAGTTGTGATTTGAGTCTGGCCCCTTGGCCAAGTGGTTGTATGTGAGCCCATTCACAGTGCAATCCATTAATCTCCAATATAGATACCATAACTCGATAATGGTCTCTAGACAGCTATCTAAGTCTTGCTGCTCCCCGTAAGGCAAGATGATTCATGCGCAAGCGTCCAAATATTTTAATGACTCTAATATCGCAACATACAACCATGTGGAATAACTAGAGAGCCATAAACATATTAAATGTTTTAAAATCAGTCAGCCCTATCGATTATCTCGTGTTGAATTATCATTCAGCCCGTCAGTTTATTAACAATTGAATTCAGAGCTTTGTCTTCCCTTCTGGGACTATCATAATACTAGCCCAGAATTTACTTCATGTTGCCATGCGACGTCAGAGAAGGTCTCATCAGCGAAGGGCACTCATTTATATAGATGCCCAGCGTTCACCATAGTCTTGTTTTTGGCGGATGCCCTCGAACTGGTTTAAGCTGGGTGGATTCCATTTTATCAGCATCTTCCCCGGCGCAACCAGTTCCATGCGCTCCATCGTTGCCGCCAACCAGTGAATCCCAGGATTACTGTGGACTGATATCCGCCTTTGGTTCAGGTTGAACAAGCTCTGCGCATGAATCAAGCGTCTGGAGATGGAATTCTTTAAATGTGTCTGGTATTATTAAATTCGATAGGTTCTCTTCGGTGTAGATGTGATTTGGTCCAATCATATCGCTCCTCGTATGCGTAACCACGATGCTTGTCGGGCATTTAATGTCTTCTGGAACTTTAGTGTAATCAGCACTCGCGCCGGAGTGAGGCAATGATTCATTCATTACGAGTTCTGATGACTAAGCTAGACCAAACCACGCCTGTCTGCACCTAAAATCAAGCCCTGGTCGAGGCGACAACAGCCAATCAGAACAGTTGCAATTGACTCGTCCAGACGAAGTCGGCCACCTCAGAGTCGATCCACTATCTGAAGTACACAACTAACAAGATGTTTTCCTATTCCAAAACTGCCTCTATACTAAGCCGAAGAGGTGCAAACAGTTAGTCTCCAACCTCGGGCTCCTAGGCCACGTTGCAAACAATCTAATTATGTCTATCAGTCAGGCCCACCTCTCCCCTCATAGCCTATCGCTCTCTTGCTGCATTGTCACCCTCATCTCCAAAGCCCGCTGGAACTCTCACGCAACATGCCGTTACAAACGAGATCTCATTGCCTCCACGAAGCGTGACGGGGAAAATTAGGCGGGAAGTCGTATTGCCTAGCCAGGAGGAGAAAAAGGGAGTAATGCAATACGCATTGTACGTTCCTGCGACCAGACTTATTCCTAAACACTTTGTGTTAACGGCACTCTAATAGGACTACACTGGACCAAATTACGAATTGGACAAGACAAAGCTCACTATGGCCCATGACTTTCGGACTTGCCTGCTGCGCCGTAGAAATGATGCATCTCTCAACGCCTCGCTACGACCAAGATCGCCTTGGCATTATTTTCAGAGCATCTCCGCGCCAATCCGACGTTATGATTGTCGCCGGTACCCTTACCAACAAAATGGCGCCCGCGCTGAGACAGGTTTATGACCAAATGCCCGAGCCTCGGTGGGTTATATCTATGGGTAGTTGCGCAAACGGCGGCGGCTACTACCACTACAGCTATAGCGTCACAAGAGGGTGCGATCGCATAGTACCCGTCGATATCTATGTACCCGGCTGTCCGCCAACTTCTGAGGCTTTAATGGTACGTGTGGTTAACTTTGCATGGAATAGTAATTATGTTAACAAATGATTAGTACGGGATTTTCCAGCTACAGAAAAAGATGAGAAACACCAAAATGTAAGAATACTGAATTCAGTGGAAGATAGCTTGCTAACATAACTTAGAACACGGATGTGGTATCGAAAGTGATGTGCATCACAGCATCAAATTGGCGTCTTAATGTATTGGAGCTGACTCTCTATTGTATTAGATAATGGGATTTGAATCGTGATTGGATGCTGAATGGCTATGATAAAGGCGCAGTCTATATCATGGGGAAGGAGCAGAAGTCGAGTTATTCAGGTTTTGGTTTCACATATATTGCGTTGAATTCCTTTTGTATTCCCAAACCTACCGTCGACACTATGCTAGGCTCTTTATCCAAATTAATTATGATTCTGCCTTACCATGATTGAAGATGATAACCCTTATCTAATTTTCCATGGCATTGTGACGAGCTGATTGATGGTCTTATACCAGGTCGCTTTATTTATACTCCGAAGCGATTTCTCCAGGCAGATTAGCGCGTGGCAATCCGGGATGTAGTCTATGCCCTTCAGTTACATACCGAGCGATATGGGGCTTCGGATGCAGTTCGAGTAATGACTTTTGTAAGAGATCTCAGGTAGGCTTGACATGCGTACGATGTTGGCTCGTATTTTGACAGGTGTGAATTCCAGACATATTCTATCGGAAAGAACCAGTAATTGCGTTATAACCTTGCAAATTGAGTAGGCTTCATTGAGACGACGCCATCAATGATGATAGATCTCAATGGAGTGAAGCGACAGAGCAGTGTATTTATTGTGTCATTGAATACTCTTGATTCATAGAGATGTAGAACTCAGTGCTAGAATCGAGCTCTACCCAAGTTCTAATGTAGTTCAGAGCCACAAGTCATAATGGTCGTTTGTTACAACAATTCATCTGATAGCAAGTTCACTTGGCGAGCTTGGGGAATTGCGGCTCTCTTACTAAGCGTGATATCTCTATAGATGGGTTAAACATTTGTTGGGATTAAAGCTATCAAGCTAAAACATGAGCATTGCTCTGTGCACATATTGGATAACTCTTTTCACTATAAACACTCGTATTCTGCAGTTAAGGAATGAACATTTGGTTGAAAGTTACAACAGGAACGGCTTGATTCACACAATATATCATTTCAAACGATTTAATACTGGCGTTAATGGATCAGTTGGAGAGTGGCAAAAAGTGTCTTGTCCAAATCAAAGCGATACGCCTCGCTTGTTTTGACATCCCTTGCCGAATATTGGAGAGAATATGTCATTTGAAATGAGTTCCGCCCTGAAGACTAGGTCAGACAGAACATTTGAATGCAATCCCACAATTCCTTATGTCTGGTATATATGAACATATGTGTTTTAATACTAGCCACAGCATTTGGAGCGGGTGGAGTGTGTAAGGCTTCCGACACCTGACACAGGCTGTCAGAAAATATACCCGTCGCTGGCTTTTGTCTGGTGCGGTTTAACAAACGTCAAGAATTCCGACATGAATTTCGTTTGTAATTACCACTGTTAAGTATGTTCATCCACGCAAAATAGTTGAACCTTCTCTTTGAGTACCGACAAAAGGGAAGTTTTAATCCCTTTGGTTTTCTAAGCACGCCTGTCATTCTATGCACAGGCGCCGCCAGAATAACAGGCAGAATGTGCTAGATTCGAATAAGCCATCTCCTGTCTCGAGAGAGATAGGTGTTTAAGTTATCCTAGCTCTAATTGGCACACCGGCCCGAATGATTTTCTACTGTTCCATCCAGCCTTGATCGTGGTGATAGTGTCGCCTGTGCTCCCGAAATCAAAGTTGTGTAGGGCACAATGCTCAATGTTACGAGTCCCTTCTGAAAGTCGAAATCTCGCTCGATTCAAGATTGTATAATTCCTGGGATTTCTATTTGATATCTATCCATAAAATTCTGACTTCCACCCAGAAGATCTGCCTCCAAGACTGGTGAGCCACTTTCGGAGTTCTCCCGGAGATATTAATATTGTTGTGTGCATGTACTTGCAGGCCACCTTGAGCCAGAAGTAAAGCTATTGAGAGGTGTATTTGTTGTAATATGGATGCACTAGGTCGTACTTTTCAACTTGGTGTGGCATTGGTTGGAATTTATGTTGGTGGGAGTGGCCAGCTAGTGTGGTAAGATGTCTCGAATCATTGTTATCCGAACCCTTGGAACGCCGTGTAGTGTCCAATGAACTGCGGATTTGAGTGCGGCGATCAATATTTGGGGCACGTGCTTATGCAGAAAAGCGAGCTAGCATGAAGCATAATGTGGCCAGGAAGGGTTAAGAGTAAGTAACATTGGGAAGTGTCAGCAAACCGAGATCCACATCAGACGATCAAGAGAGCTGGACTGCCTTGTATTGGGCAATGGGAGTGTCGTGAGCAGTAGATACACTCCACCTGAAGGTGATGAATGTAATAGGAGGTAATGGTGCCAGGGAGTATGAGGTAACCTCTTCCTCGGATGCCGGGACCCAATCCAGCCTTCCCTGCCAATGAAGAGGAGGCCGTGAGCAATGACGCACTAACAGACCCCTGCCATGAATATTCGACCAATGGATAATGCAGTAAATTTTCAGTCTGTGCAAAGCTACTGGGCTAGACTAGCTCTATCGATAATAGGGCAGGTGTTGATACTACTGGGGCTCTACTAGAAAGACCAGGCTGAGCGACTTGCCGTTGAGTCATCATATCTCGTCAGCAAAAGCTTCCTGGGCGGGATTGTCTAGAGCCCTTAAGAACTTGCAACGTCTACAGTATACGTCCTTTATGTCACTCACAATCACAGACACGCCGCAACCATTCATGAGACGCACAAGCACCCGAGGACGGCTATATGTTGCACACCAGAGCGAATCATTCTTCGGCCCGAGACAGCAGATTATTAGCTCGACGCGAGCAGGGTCCGATGAAACTACTTCCGCCTACATGGCAACTCAAAGATTGGTCACTACTCTTAATCAGATAAACGCGAACGTCTAATGAGTGTCTTACATGAGAATCGCGATTTACAGTGGTATGTACGGATGTAATACAGTGCACAAACGACCCTACCGTCAGGTGAGCTAGTTTCCAAATACACAAATCCTTGAGTCGGTGCACGAGCTGGAAACCGGAAACCGCATTAGTCGATTACTGGGGAAAGAAGAGACTGGTCAATCACTTTTATTCTCGGTATTGTCAGATACATCCATTTTCATTCGCATGAAGGAGCGAAAGACAATCCGTACCAGAGACCATTGCTGCTCCTATCGATTTGCTTTTGTTTCAAGCCACACAGCCAAGAAAAGCTCCGCTTTGTAATTTTTAGTCGCAAGAATATATTGCGATATCTTCCTAGGCTGGTGTAGGTCGACGCTTGGTTTGCTCTGGGCCGCTCTCCAGATCAGAGATCAGGAGACTGTACCATGTAGAAATAAGTAGATATATTGTCAAGGAAACAAGGCGTTCAGGCAAAACAGTCACATTGTTCTCTGGTATAGTCTGAGTAGCCTGGGCACCTACCCCACTTGTGAAGGAGACATCTCAGATCATATTTCGCGCGGAGAAAAGTTGATGGATGACGGAGGCATGTCTGGATAACTCAGGGTTTTTGAGATGTTCCCCTGGGTGGGTATTAACGGATGAGGGTTGACTTGGGGTGAAGAAAAAGCTACCATAACTTCGCAGTGGTACTTGCAAATGAAATCCGAGGCATGAGTGCTCTTCTTGTAAATTGAGTCATCTTTTCTGTACTTTTCTTTGATATTGTGTCATAGCTAGATAGCTGCATACGCAATTAGAATCTGATGCAAAAAAAAAGAAAAAAAGAAAGAAAAACAGTCACATGATATATGGACATGTCTAAATGCACGCTGACGCGTCCGTAAATAATTAGTAGTTTCATAATACTAGATTCTTTCCTATATGTAGATAATCTAATTCACCAGATCAGACATCGTCAGTCTCCATCCACCTCACTCCCTACTGTGACGTATATCCGTTTTCTCAAACCGTCTGAATATATTAGATGCATGGCGCTGTTTACAATCAAAGTGTACCATGGGACAGGGGTCCGGGGTAAGTGCAACAGGTCAAAATATGGAGTGGGCATCAAATTTCTTACATTCTGTTGTATTTAATATAATTGCATCTACAAAGGTCTTACCTCTATCAAGCCTACTGAACGGCAGAGATTTACAAAAGCCCATGCATGATCAATATCACGTGGTCATATTGGTTAGTATCTGCCCATCATAACAGATTCACACCAAATTTCCCTGGGAACCCAGTAGGCCTGGGAGTATTTTGTTTGCTACCTGTCTATCCATGTCTACAATTACCATGTATTAGCGATTCAGGTAGTGTTTAGCCACGGCTCGCACCCTCCTTGAGCTATGGCCATTCCGTGACCAATGTACTGTGCCAAATGTTAGTCAAGAGGTGAACATATTATCTTGATTTCCCTAGTCCGAGTTCCATGGGCCATGAGTCTTAGCCATTTTTCGGAAATATCCTGGCTTTGATTCCAGATATACGGACGTGTAGGCTCTGCGTCTCAAGCGAGGCGCAAAAGAATTTTAGCTTCACTTTGCTCGGATGCCGGCTCGTCAAAGCTCAACTTGATATGTGGAGAGATTTCGCATTGTGATAGAAGCGTAAGTGGACCATGACTCAACCAAAGCTGGTGACGAGCCCTCAGACTCTCGACTGGCCTATCGAGCTAGGACTTTTTCTCTCCCCCAAAGCAGGACCGAAATATATCTGTGCATTTTTCGGCAGTACTGAACGGCAGGGAATTGATCAAACGCCGTTGAAGAGCTGGAGAATGTAAATGAGCATGGCTAAATATTTGGCAATGAAGAAATTGATGTGCATCCGACTTAATGCTAGTAAGCAAGGTGATGGTCAGATGCATTGGACGTGACAATTCCCCAATCTTACCGGGTCAACCAAGGCTGAAATTTAATATCTAAGCTAGCTCTAATGTGTTGAGTGATTCATGGTAAATCTTGGCTCGATTCTGCCTGGGTCCACGGTCCGGGTGCTTGTAAAGACCCGTTCGTTTGAGGAGACAAGCTGAATTGGAGTTTGCGGTGGTGCCTTCAGCCCAATATATTGAATTACAGGGCATTGCAAAAGTGAGATTCCGCGGGGTCCGAGATGGTAGGATGAGATTTTGCCTCATTGTGGGATTGCACTGGTTTGGGCGTAGCAGAACCATCCCTCTGTCATTTTACTCGCGCTGGTAATCTTCCGGATGATGAAGAGCTCCAAGAGCGTGCCTAGTGATTATACAGCTCCATGAGGTCTTCTTTTGGACAAAATTCTGCAACCAATTAGGAGGACCCAATCTCTGGCTTAGCGGCTTCCTTAGTAGAAACGTCAGAACCATGACAGATGCCGACAGCAAACCTGGACCACGCCTAGACACTGCCCCCCATGGAAGGCTCGCCTTTTCGCTCCACTGGTCTCAGATGTTCAGCATGGATGATACTGTAGTTAAATTTTCTATGGCCTCTAGCGTGATAGGGCTTACTTTCGTGGAATGCTCTACCGGCGCCTGGCGGAAAACTTTTTGGCGAAAATCGAGTTGTATTTCCAGTGATGGAAAAGGTAGATGCACACATCAAGCTACTGTTCAGCAATGTATGAATGTGCTGCCTTAGATTTCAATAAGCTGGTCACTTTGGATTCAAGCCTTCCGCACACATCTCATCATGATTTCCTACACAATTAGGCTGCCATCTTTCTGGGCTTCCTGATTCGTTTAAACATACTAGATCTATGTTTATTTCCGTTAGCTAAGAAACAATTTGCTCCAAAAGGTACATTTGACTCTTCAAGCAAAATTCGCCGGGGAGAAGAGATACACTATTCGATGTAATTTTTTGCATATCTTCGGAGGTCAGTTGAGTGTATGGGGAGGAGATAACGTTGGAACCTGGAAGTCTACCTATCTTTCTCGTTCATTAGACCACAAGGAGTCAGTACCTCTCAGAAGCTCAGCTGTAAAATCTGGTGGCGTCTAGAGACCATTATGATGATTCAAGGAGATATTCTAGTGTTTTTTGTTTTCAGTTTTTGTCCATCTCTTTTCTTCCACTGTAATTCCAGAGGTTGTGCGTTTTTCTGAGCAGGAAAGTGGGCAACGATTCTTTGTGCAAAATTAGGCTTTCTACTACTTATGATATCCTTGTCATCGTCGAGCAGCACCTCTACATGTCTAGTACTCACTTTCTGACACCATGATAACTTTCGTGGCAAGAGACTACAGCCAGTTGAGCGACTCCTTTTACCTATCGCTGCGAAGAGGTCAATTAGGTGTATGAAAACTTGGCCACGACGATCCGTGTATAAAATGCCATTTTTCTCGACAAAGAACAAAGTTTGCCAGATTACTCCGTAATCGCACAAACCCATCAGTGGATACCGTCACCTCTTCATTGCATGTAGAAGCTCGTTGGTCATTGCACACAACTACGTTTGCTTATAGAATTCTAATTCGGCCTTGCATCGGATTCAAATGTTGGAAGCTAACTTTCTAGCGTGTGGATGAGAGCTATGATGGTTCCAAGAGGCATCTCATTGTTAGAGATGCTTCTCTAGTGGGTAGCTATCGAGTCAATATGGTGAGTAGTCATCGCTCGGACGCAGCGTAGTTATTATTCACCTAAGTTGAGTCTCAACGATGAATGGATGGCTACTGTCCAGTCAAAAAACTTCATCTCCTAGGGTCTTACGAGATTTAACGCTGGCTCGTGCGTGGCGATGGTGGTAGGTCCCTTACCAGTAAATCTGAATTTACAAAGTTATTGTATGTATTGTTACTTTCTCCTACAACTGTCCATGTGAGTGGTGTGTCGATAGCCCCAGAGCTCGTCATGGGCACGTGCGGTCGATGCCCTCCTTTTTTCTTCGTGAGTGTGTACGAGTGGGTTACATGGCTGAATGTATCAATGCGACAGTGCATGTTCAAACACTGTCGCCAAGCATACGTAGACGTGATGGTAGCGCGACGCAATGATAAAATTGTACATAATCTCTATTTGATTAGGGGCCTGTTCGGCATAGTGCGGCTCCATATTCAACCTTGCTCTTCGCTGTCCATGCTGCTGGGCTAGAGGTGACATGAGGACTAGGAGGTTTGGCTCAACTGGGTTAATCTACGAGGGCACTTGTCTCCATAGCAACGCATGCAAATAACTTTTCATCTGAACAGGCACTCTTACGCATGTCGCGCCTTAAGAGAAAACGATGGTCAATGATCCATCCAAAAGTAGGCAAGCTCATGCCGTGCAATTACTTCCTTTGCCATTGCTTTAGAACAGACAGGCGCATGGTATTGTTACCATGTGCACGCCAATTCAGCACAGAGCCGTGCCGCGTTATTGGATAATAATGACCGTGCGTGTTATTAATCTGCCAAGTTAACAGAATCATCAAAGTGATAGCGATTTTACTACCGGAACTCGTCTATGGCAAATATACTGTGCTATGTTGGACTTCTTGTTTATGTATCATATTATTTTCTTATTTGAATTACTAAGAGAAAATCCATACATCATCAACGCTGGATATATAAATATCCTCCTTAGATTCATGGCGCCATTCATTATTAGCGTCCTCCAGTTATCCACAAGAGGTGCTCATTTTCACCGAGACTATAGTAGAGCTATAGCTCCAGCTCCAAGTAGAAACACCCCGTTCAGCACTATTTTCTGAGCACTGCTTCCCGACGTACTTGTTGGTGCCGCGGTAGTCGTGGCACTAGTCGTTTTCTCGGCTATTGGTTCGGTGGTGTGGGAGACGGCTGTTGTCGTAGAGAGGGATGTAGTCGTGGCAGATACAGGTCGAGATATAGCACTCGATGTAGAGGAAGAATAAACGTTTGCGTTAGAACAATAAGCTGATTGCGATGAAAGAGTGGCAGAACGACGGGGGTCGTTTGGGCAGACATTAAAACAACTGAGATATCAAAGTCAGTCCCTGTACATGGAACGAGTTAGGTATCGTGTGCTTACGTCAACACGTCGGTGTATTTTTGACAGAGGCAGTTGTAGTCAGTCGTTGGACACGCGTTGGCTATGGCGCTGGTGCTTGCGATACAGGCGTCAAGTACTGGCTGTGCGCCACAGACAGTCGAAGTCGTGTCAGCCGGTCCAATGGAGAAAGTAGTCGCCTCAGCAGCAGCGAGTGCTAGTAGTGCGAGTGATGAGAAGAGAGAGAAATGCATATTGACAAGGATAATTCACCACAAAAGATTAAATAGACCAAGAAGTGAACAAATGGATAGGGTTGAATGAGCCGCTGAAGTTGGAAGGAAGAAGGTGAGTTATTATAGGAGCAAGCTTACAACAAGCAGACTGACAAGGGCACGCACTGAAGAAGATCACAGCTAGCTCCTTGGTTAGTAGTCAGTAGCCCTTTCCACCTTTTTCGGAAGCGTCAACACGCCTATGCAAAAGATCAGGCTAATAACCCCTCCTCCCCCCTCGTTTAGCTAGACAAGGGGGGCTGACTCAATTTCAAAGAGCTGCCCCGAATCAAAGCTGTGGAGAGGACATCCACTGTATGCAGGTTGCCTGGGGATGGCCCGACGACAAAATATGATTATCATTTATGGTCACTTGGGTAGAGTTCGAATAAGGTTGCTCGTGTTACGGTTAGTGACATAATTCTCATGGGCCGGAATAATTTAGCATTGGGTTAGAGAATTGGGTAGATCAGATTAAACTGGACTAGCCCAGTCGACTGCATTCGTGAGCTTGTTCCCAGCTTGTAGACTTGATATATAGTCAATAGTACCCCTTCCCTGGTACTAAAGCCAAGAACGGCTCGTGAAATGGCAATCATGGTTGACTGGTCTATTCCGCATATTCTACAGCTGAGTTGCCTAATGTTCACTTTTTGAGATCTAGAGGATCAAGACCTAAGACGGATAAAACGATCGACCATATATATAGTTACATATATGTAAGACAACCACATGCTAGTCTAAGCTGAAGTACCCAGTAACTCTCCACACTACCAATCGATTGTCAATGAAAAATAATCAAGAGCCATTCGTTACATCCAACGTCGATACCAAACACTTACTCCTGTCCAAAACCCATGGTTTCTTCGACAGCCATCGTCAATTTGGCTTGTAAGGTTTCAAGACTCTTGTATGGAGGCAAATCGAGCCGGTTAAAGCTAATTTATGTTAGTAGGTAATTATAGTTAATGGATATCATAAACCAACCATGTATGTGATTTTGGTAAGTTATTGATCTCACCAGCTTTCTCAATAGTAAAGCGCCTCGGTCCATCACTTCCTTGTAGATCCTTAAACCCATTCACTGGGATTCGCGATGTTCCTGTCGCAAACTGTAATAGTCTGGACTTCTGTTCACCATCCCAGCTCCTAATGGTCTGCCAGAAGAATTTAATTACTTCGTCTGATTCGGTGTATCCCCTATAATCTGTGTGTTTTTTCCAATCTTCAACATCTATCTCTGCAATACCACCGATAAGTAGCTCTAATTCTCGCTCATCGAAAACATTTACTAGCTCTGCTGGTATGAGCTCGTGAAAGCCAGTTATGAAAGCTTGGAACTGCTCATCAATTCGCTTTTGAATTCTCCATTTAACCATCATGTCGACGTATTCTTTCTTATTGACATCGGTTACATCAATATCTCTTCCACCTGGCTTGAGGTCTTCGATGGTTGTTTGGCCAAAGCGTTCGTCTTCCGTGGAAAAAGTCTGTTCCAAGACTCCTTCGATTGGATTGTTCAGCATCCACTGGAGACTTCGATGAAAGTCTGCATCAACTCCTTCCATGTCTGAGAGGGCTACGGCTTTGTTGAGCATCATTTTGTACAAAGCTCCGATAAAGAATGCGTCCAAAAACCGTCGATGGAAAATTGCGAGGCCGACTACACGGCCGATAAATTTGAAGTAATTCAGATGCTCTGGATTGATTCCAGAGTGGGGGTTGATTTGGAGGGTATAGTTGTCATGTGCAGAGTATTCGAACAAACAGTAGAATGGGTTAAACATTTCGTGAGACAATAGGAAGAAAAATTCTCTAGATAAACCACCATAATCTAGCCCATCCTCGCCGTCAAATTTTATCATCAACCGTTTCTTCAGGTCAGTTGCTGACTGGCGCATTATCTCAGCGTAAGAGTCTTCGAATATATGAGATCTTCGGATTTTGACATGGCACTGCCCTGATAGTATACGGAGCGCTGGCTGTGATCTAAAGTAGATAAGCTTACGCCTAAAATCACGCTTGTACTGTGGAACGTTTTGATCCAGAGAAGAGGGAAGTCGTGGATCATCCCATGTTGTGGTTTTAGTATTATGGTCTACAAAATATACGCGAGCCGTGTTTGTGAGTCTCATCTCCCATCCGCTAGGAAGTGGTCCAAGTTGAGAGACTGGTTGCTGTTGTATGCCGCCATTATTAGTATTAGGACCTCCATACATTCGTATATACTGTTGCCTCCGAGGATCGACCCAAGTTGTAGTTCTGGTATTGTGGTCTACAAAGTATGGGCGGCCTTCAGGAGTATGTCTCTGTTCCCATAATGGAGGCAACTCTCCAGTGCCAGCAGTTGTTGCTCCAGTCGCCAACATTGTAGCCGCATTTGCTGGACTGGCACCACCAGATGAAGGGGTAGAGACGGCATTGCTAGGTGAGCTGGCACCAGCACGTTCCTCTGGTAGAGTTCGGTTCTGATGCCTTTGGCGTTCGACCTGAGTATTTGCATCTCGCTCAGTACGCTGGGTTTCTGCCGTGCCTCCTGCGACCGGCCTATTCCAGCTGGTGGATCGCGTATTATGATCTACGTAGTACGTTCGCCCTAGGTTATCCTCTCTTCTTTCCCAGCCTGCAGGAAGCCTTCCTTGAGCGTCTTCAAAAGAACTGAACGTACCGGCCGGCCGGGTAACCGTCGTTGTATTAGATTGAGCGCCAGAGGTAGAGCTAGAGGCACCAGGAGTAGTCAAAAGACTAGCAGTTGAACTACTCGGAAGTGCATTTGATGCCGGCGTTGTAGCGGAGCCCGTTGCATGGGCAGAAAGAGGCAATCCCATTGAATTGAGGGGTGCAAGTGTTTGGGAAATGTTTAAGGACGTAGGTCTGGGACTGGGAGCAGGTAGATTATTTCTAGGTGGTTCTGTTAGGTTTGTCGAAAGGCTGATGATTAATTGCCCATGAACGACTAAATTATCGGTAGACTTTTTGAGGTCTCTTGTTAACATCTCTGAATATGTGTTAATTTATGGCAATAGGTAACTGTTGAGTTCATGCACTAACCGTCTTGATTTGATGAGAAATCTAGGACATCTCCAATACGAACATTTATTACGCCCAGGAATCCCTGATCTTTTTTCTTGAACTTCTTCTGGTCGAATATCTGCACGGCTAGAATGCTGTCTTCATTTGCCCGCCTGATTGACCGTTAGCCTCTTGTTGACAAATCCTTTTTCTTTCGGATTCTCACATGTCAAAACTTTCGTTCCAGTAGGGATTGAGGGTCCTTTTTATGACGCTCGTCGTCTTAGTCTGCTCGCCGCCGAGAGTCGCCACAGCAAACGGATCCGGAAATTCTATTATTACTATTAGTGTATACATTCATAAGTGTCCGTAAATGAACGCACTGAAAACATCACGCTTGTATAGCCCATCCGCCGCGATTACTGATATTTGTTAGTCTTGCCACAGGATTTACAGAGGGCAAAATCGTTGTACTGGTCACTCTTAGGTTAGGTTGTCTATGAAGGTGTCATCAGCGAGCGGTTACCCGTAAGCCCGGAACGAGACGTACGTAGGGAGACTCGAGTCCATTCGGCTACTGCTGCCAGCCATCATGGAGTCTCGCCGAAGGTGGCGACTATTTCAGACCGTGAAACAATGATCGAATAGTCGGATATGGAGAATGAGTTGAGGTGAGAATTCAAGGGAGAAGGATAGTATTTTGGGGAGGGGCTTTGCACAGCAACCCGAGGCGGGCGCACGTATGGTGAGGCTCTGGAACGACTTTGCAACGCTGCTTAATCTCCTTGGAGGGCAAAGAGTCAAACACCACCATTATGGTTTGCACCACATCCCCGCAATGTTGGCCTTAGTCGTTAGGTGTATATAAGTCAAGCCTGAGCGCCATTGTTTGGGTACAGGCTACGTATCACATATGGCAAGTTTGGAGCAGCAGGAGAGAAACAACGGAAGGTTGATTTCACACCCATTCCAGTCTATCTAGATGTTACATGCGGAACAATTTTCGGGATTTGAACGGTTTAAACAATTTTAATGCAGACCTTCTCTATGACTTTGCTGAATATGGAGGGTTGGATTGGTTAACGATTTCATACTCCCATGTGCAATAAGACCCTTTTCAAACGAGTGTCAGTATGGACTGTATCCTCTGCCACGGCTCCCTCTGAATCCCCCCCGGTAGCCACTTCCTCTTGGTGGGTAGCCTCGGCCGCCATATCCACGACCCCTCGGACCACCTCTACCTCTGCCACGGGTCATTCCAGGAATATTAGTACGTTTAGGTACTACCTAGAGAAGAGACGAGAGTCAGTCGGGAGATAAAGAGTAAAAGCGAAGATAGAGCTGCCAACCTTAAGATTACGTCCTTTGAATACACTCTCATTTAGGACGAGAGCTTGAGCAACAAAGCTTGGCTCTGTGAACTCTACGTACGCATACCTGCATATTCAAATTAGCATCCGTCTCTTGCCAGGTAGCTCTATTCAGATGGGCTCTTTTGAAAGAGGAGTCCAGCCAGCCAGAAGTAGTCCCTTAAGAACTATGAATCGAGAGACGAACCCCTTTGGATGACCGGTGAACTTATCCAGGAGTATGGTAACACGGTTGATGGAACCGCAGCTTTGAAAGTGTGCCTGAATTTCCTCGGGTGACGACGAATAATCGACATTTCCCACAAAGATACTTCTCGAATCGACATCTTCAGGATCATCACGCATGTCGTTACTCTGTTGGTCAAGACTAGCCTGCATTTCACGAAGCTTTGCAGCTTCTTCCTCCATCTCGGCCACGCGCCGCTTCATAGCAGAGATTTCATCCTTTGTTTGGTATTAGATATTGGGGGAAATTGAGACTGCATTACTTACCTCCTCGTTTCCCTCCTCATGCGACACAGCATTGTTATCCTCTTCGAGATGCGCTTCGGAGTCTGCCATGGGGAGCAATTCCAATGAGCAGAAGATATTGCTCAAACAGGCTGTAGTATATTAAAATATTAGTAGTGACGCCTCCGAGGCTGAGACTTAAATTCTCGGGGTCGGGCTGCGATTAAATGTTTGATTGTTTCGAGATAAGAAAATTACAAACAAGAGTTGATGGAAAACTTCGCAGTCGAAGTAGCCCTTGCAGCTAAGGTCTTAAGTCGCGCCGTGAACAGGCACGAAAGTGTCTGCCGGATAGGATAAAGAGTTTTCACTGTATATTGTAGCACAGTGCACTTGGCGATAGGTTTGTGGTAGATGTTAGTTGATCTTCCGTTAATCTGATCAATATGTCTCGGCCATGTTAGTTTTTGGGGATGATCAATACGATAATTTCAGTGCTGAATGGGTCCAAGGGGCTGTCTTGCCTTCCCAGCAGTAAAAGACTTAACGCCAATTTGCGCGGCCGAGCAGGCATACTACCGGCAAAAGCAAACAAGCCACAAATATAGTTTTACAGATATTTAACCAACAACCTATTCCCTTCATTTGGACCGGTGATTTATAGCTACAGAAAACAACTCTACATGCGGTATCTTGAATACTTGTCGCGACTGCATTTCAGAATTCATAAAAAATGAACGCATTCGTCAAGCCTCTTTCTTCCTCAATCCCGCCTATCCCTGCTAGCATTACACAGCCTTTGCTATCCTCAGGCCAACATCCGCAGGAAACATTCCTTACTCTCCCAGCAGCGACCCCTCCACATCATCTTGTGGAATCAACTCTGCCTCATCCGAATGTCCAAGATCTATCCAGTTTCAAGCCTAGCATCACTTCACTCATCAAGCTTGTTCTAAAAACCTATTTATCCTCTCGTAAACAGCAGTATATCACCGTAACACTTGTGCTCCTTGACCTCCTTCGATCTGTCGCAGGAGTTGCTGTGAACATCAACTTGAACCAGGATATTCATGACGTTTATGAGCCACCTCCGATTTTGAACGCTGTACGTAGCGCAATTGGGATCCTGGGTTTGATATTTTCAAATATTTTTTCTTTCGAACTTCTCACCAGTGTGTGGGCATTCGGATGGAGGTACGTCCTTTTTATGTTTGGTCAGATATGTCTTCAACTACGTCCATTTTATAAAACAGTCAACAGCGCCAAATCATTTCTACAAGTTTTTCTAGCAGTGGTTCTCAGAGGAATTTGAAGCCGTCTAACCAGCAACAGATACTTTTTAGTTCCCGCTCATGTGGTCGACGCGCTCGTCATTTTTACAAACGCTATCGCTTCACTGTTGCCTAATGGGCCATTACAACAGGCTGCCTCACTGACAATGATACTACGCCTGTGGCGTCTTTTCAAAAATTATGGTCCTATGTTTCTAGATTCAGCTTCAATACCACTACTGAGAGAAATCGAAGAAGAAACTACTGGCCGGTTTCATATACCGTCCACAGATTGCCTTTTACCCAAAAATAAAAACACAGGACTGGACATAGAAAACCTACCACATCGTCTTGAATGATCAGTCAGTTTAACATATACTCTACATGTCACGGATTTCAATACACAGCCTGAAAGATATGGCGACAAAAGAATTATAAACTTTTTGTAGTCATTAATTTGACATTAGATAAGTTGGTGACTTCTATCGTATATGATGCTAACAAAGTGATACCTCCACGCACATCGTGGCGCATTACAGCAGCAATAAAATACTTCAAGAATAGTGTCAACTATATTTACATTAATGTAATGCTCTATTAACTCCTCACAACCTATAGAAAAAGTAATCTAGCCGTGGCGGGTTTGCAGCCTTTCTTTGCCAGTACCTGTGATAGGATTTACAATTGTGACTTGGTTCGTTTTTTCTTCAGTTCTAAGACGTCTACCTTCACTCCCCCTACCTGTGGTATTTACCAAAACGGCTTGAGCAATAATTTCTTCCTCAATGTTGATTTCAGCAATATCGTCATCATGGTCTACTTCATCCTCCGACCCTCCACTGTCGACATTGTCCTCATCATATTCACCATCGTCACTGACTAAACTAGGCGCGTTATTACTGGATATTGTATGAGGATTGAGGTCATCAATCGAAGACTTATCAACCATCTTCAATTCTAGGTCAACAGGGCTGAGATGTACAAATTCAGCTACAGAGGGTTCATGTGAAAGTGCCTTTGCCATACTTGATGTCACTGGAACATGTTTAGAATGATCGACAAGCAACTTATCATTCCTCTCTTTGTTGTCCTCGGACTCGAATTCTACGACTTTTTCGAATCGCGAATTGAGTGCTGATGATGTACTCACTCTAGAGGGTACACGCATCTGCGGGATAGAAGAATGTAGTCTATTAGTTGGTAAATTATAGGATTTTGAGGTGGGCACTGCATCAGACTGATCAGATTCGTGCTCCAACAGATCATCTTCTATTTCCACCTTTTGGCAAACTTCTAGTAAGATCTCGTCTAGGTCACCTGAAATTTTCTTTTGTCGCCATATAGTCGAGAGATACGGAGCAGGAGAGGATTTGAGTGGTACATCAGCGGGTTCAACTGCCAATTTTGGTTCAGAAGTGAATCCAGGAAGCTTTCCTTCCCGAAGCATAGCTTTCGAATCAGCTACGCGTGATAAAAGAGCTTTACAAGCATCAACAGCTTCTGGGCCCGAGGGAGCATTTCGGATGAGGGGATGAACAAGGCCATTTAGTGGCACAGATGCACGATCGCCGACAGTTTTGGCAGGAACACAAGTCTCGATAACCTGACCACTAGCTATAGCAGCTTCTTCATGACTTTTAAAATCGCGACGATGGGCTATGCGACAATGGTTTATGAAACCCTGAGTGCTTGAAAAGTTATCTCTATGACAATCGAGGCAAACAAGCTTTACAGTTTGACCATCTGCACGTGTTAATACACATGGTCCAGCTTTATCCTTAACGGATGGATAACCGTTTGATAGGGAATGAAGCTTCTGCCCTGTCGCTCTACGTAGGCCCGACTTTCCGGGCCTATTTAAGCTATCGCAAGCACAGTATCGTGTTGCTCTACCTTCAATAGTAGCCTCGGAATCACGTGATTTGACATCACTCTGTCTGCCGGGACCATCAAATATTGGATCTGGAATCAACCATTTTGCGTAGTGTCGAGTATATGGTCCATCCGTTATTCCGAATGCAGGTGCCCATAGCGGTGTTTTTTCTTCGTTATTCACAGCTGGGCCAGTTCCATTACTGACTGATAGCGTTGATTCGGGGGTTGCCATTGACACGGGATATGGTATTAGATGACAGCGACGTAATTGCTCTAAGGCTACTTGACACTTTGCCAACTCCTGATCAATCAAGCGCAATTCATTGTGCTTGAGTAATATTTCGAGACTGAATTGAGTCTCAACAGTATAACGAATTAAATCCACATCCATGGGAGGCTGCACTAATTCTGAGGGTTGGGTCATGAGCTTATTCTCTATCGGGGAGATTGGGCTTCTCAGTGCGGTAATATCATTCCTGCGCTTGACGTCTCGTACCTCGTGATCTGTTAGTTTCTCGGTTATACGGCGCTTTCTCTTTGCGACAAGTCCTGAACTTGATACAAATAGCGGACGAGCGGCATTGGCCATCTTAGTGTTGCAGTTCTCGCGCGCCGCTTCGTCGCGGTAACTAGTGTCTGAAAGCTGCGGCGAATCTTGTAACATCCCCACGCGCGCTGATCTTTAAAGCGCCAACATTCAGTGAAGAAAAATTCAAATAACTCCGATAGTAGCGCAGAAAATTGATAAATGTGGTAGAAGCTAGGCTGAGATGAAATGTTTTGAAGATTCAAGAGTCAATTTCAATCCTGATATCAGTCGAATGTTGCTCCCCCAAATCGCCCCCAGGATACGTGGATCAGTGAAAATATCGTAGACTGTGACAGTATTTGCTAATTGTATGCTTGTGTGGAAGCGGTGGCGAGGACGGAAGACTCAGGTAGGGTGAGAGGTGGCAAAGGTGGCAATGATGTTTTAATTTCGAGTGGCGCCAATGCGTCGGGAAGGAAAGTGAGGAAGAGAAGTAGGCGAGTGCGGGAGTGTGCGGGAGCAGAGGGGATGGTCGATGGACTGGGTTCTTCCGAAGAGGGAACGGGCGCAAAAGGAGCAAGCGGGTTTGCGGGCGACAGAAATGGCGCTTGATAATTTTTGTTGGAAAAATTAAAGGCGATCAGGGTTTGGAATCCGATAACAATGAAAATGAATGTGACAATAATCAACACAAGTGAGATTTCGGGACGACGAGGATATTGATTTCATAAGAAACCGGCGGAGTTGTCGAGATTCGTGAAGGAAAGACGGTGAAAGATGACTTAGAGAACAAGAGAGTGAGGGAAAAGGCATGGAAACGGACGAATCCACGGTGATCACAGCCGACCAACTTGAACGGGGATGCCAAGGTAGAGAAAGGGGATAAGTCAAGAGACCACTGCCCAAGAGGGAAGGAATAAATGGGTGGAGTGCGGGGGACAGGGCAAGGCTTGTGTGGTGATGGCACTATGATGAGCTTTCACTGCTGCACAATATTATTGCCGCCGTTGCGCTGGGCGCGGGGGTGCCAGGATGTGCGAGGCTAAAATTTACAGGTGTGGCACTAGTGGTTTTACGGGCGATCATAGCAATTAGGTGACCGAGCGATACTTGGTGGCTTGTAATTAATGCAGAAAATGTGGGTGAGCCCGTCTGTCGGCTTCAATTTCAGCCTCTGACCTACCAGATTAGCAAGGACACCGTGGAACTTCTATCATCAGTTCATGAGAGCCATATTTTGGGAAGCATTTTGGTAATGTAATGTGTTCGAGGGTTAGTGCACGAACGGTACATCCATATTTTGTCCAAGCAATATAGAATGGTGAGATCTAAAGATGCCGTTACGGACTCTTGCACGGATAAAAATGGCAACACTCTGATTGGTGAAGGGTAGAGTATTGATAATGTCCAGGGGTCGCAAATTTATATGTGTAAAGCCTCGCTCTGGACTAAGCGAACAGGCAGAATGGCATTTTATGTTTTCTTATTCTTATGCATAATATAGTACACAAAATATTCACAAATATTATACAGGCAATTCGATACAGTCATAAGCCTTATTTGCTACTAGGTGATTATCTGACTGATAGAAGTCAGTATCCATCCGCTGGTAATTACATCTACATAAACTGTCGAAGGTGATAGAAGATGAGTTCAATCTAGAGATGGTATGGTCTCGTATGAAGTAATGATCACATTTGGATGAAGTAATCATAGCTTGACACTAAAAGTTCACCGCGATTTCATTGTCGAGCGTTGGGATATGAAAACTCAACACCCGTCAGCGGTGTCCTCTGCAAATTTGAGATCAGGATTTCACCCATACCCGAGATTCAGTCACGACATAGGGTGAATCTGAGTGTTTTTTTGTTGAGGTGGCGGACTGTAGGGATGGCTTGGGCAGGTCTAGACAAAATCCCGACTTGCTAAGGTATTAAACCTGCACAACAAAACAAATACAATTATTTACACCCCAAATGCGAATAGTAGAAGGAAATAAAATTGTCTAGTCTTCGCATTAAAATAAATGACTTTCTTCAACCCCTCGAATTTTCCCGGATGATCTTTTCCAGTTAAACTCATCTCGCTACGCTCCTCAAAATCATCTTACCACATATCGGAGCATTCCAAGGCTCAGGAATTAGAATCAAATTTTAACATAAAAGAGAACATAAATCTCTCTAGAATCCTCCGCGCTGCGAAGGTACGGTCGAAGCACATGAATTCTGGCATAGACGAATTATTCACCTTCCAGTATTGACAGTGTAGACAGTGTAACCGCCCAGTATGCTCTGCGTACCCAGGATTGCCAATAAGAATAGTGTTCGACTCAAAGCCGAATGCATATATGAGCGTATTCAAAATCGATGACTACTTCCCATTGTCGGTCTCAAAATTCTCCCACAAGCCCTCAACCTTTATTTTACAACATATCACCTCGCCTTCATGACTGATCAAGGAGTAGTTTCAATTGTAATGGGGTACTTGCCCATTTAATTACCGGCCATCTCCCATTCTAAAAATAAGATGCTACTGACACCTACAAGGAGGTATCTAGTTTATAATATAAATGATACGTATTTTGGCTGATGGAGAACCGTTGCTCTAAAGGAGCTCTCCAATTTGAAGTGTTACAAGTAGCTGGAATATGGAACGAGAGAGGGAAGAGGTAAAAATTGGGCATAATGGAACTCACATATTTTGAGGAGTTTCGATTTGGAGTGCTTGTGGGCGTTAAGACTACGATCTTAGATAGTACTACAGACACTTTAAATATTGAGTACAACATGTTAGCTTCGGCAGATAGAGACGTGAGTAAATGACCGTGGTCAGCAAGGCATCAGTTGGTACAAGTTAAGTTGTTGACGTGGAAATTTAACTATTGATAAATAATATCGTGGGATTCGTACAAGGCGTAGCGCACCGCAATTAAAAAATTTGGATTTCATGATTTTCCTGGCTCATCATGAATTAGTCATTTTGGTATAATTGGGTCTTTAGGGAGCTATTGCCCATTTTATGTCAAAATAGATACAAGGCTTAAGCCTAGCAAGTTAAAGTAACCGACAAACTACAAAAAAGGGCGTAAACCTTTGATCAGAGACAAGTGAAATATGCTAACTCGACGACATGTGGCTTTGAACGTTAAATGAAAGCAGGTTCATCATTAACTATATTTAGGGCTCTTGTTCATGCAATCGGTCTGTATCTTTCAAGGTATGTCAGGGATTGTTAACATTTCCCTCTTGTTATTGATCCGTACAAACATACCTATATTAGTGACTTATGTTGATACTCAGGATTGCCATGGACAACAGAGATGAATGGTATTTATGGCAGTGTGGGGATTGGTAACGATGAACACAAATATAATATATATATATATATACATGTATATTTGAAAGTATTTTGTACTTGGTGTGCACTAAGTGCATTGCATCTGTCCGTTGCTGAGTCAGTGTCTTGATGACTCAGCTAATACAACGAACCCTAGGCTCATAATGTTCTTAGATAGAGACACCAGACACAATACATACATCACTTTTGTACCTTCCGTTTTGCATTGAACTAAACTTACGTATACATAGATTAAGGCCAACTGACAATATATTTATATTGCGCACTTGACTCCTCTTGAAAACGGTCATGCTTCCGACTTCATTCACAATGCCCATACCCATTCTGGGGTAATAACCCCTATTTATATTGGTCTTATCTTCTAACTTATATCTTTTTGCCCTTTCATCTTTAATGATAGGCAATGTTATTCTTCGTCTTGCTGGCCGTCATCAAGCTCTTTTTTTTCAAATAATTTAATGTGTATTCAGCTATCTAGCTATTACACTTGACCGGTACTTTTTTTTATTTTTCAATTCATTAAGTGTATACAGACCGGTACTTTGTATGTATGTGGGATGAGTATCATCAAGCTCAGAGTTTTTAACAGATTTAATCTTAAACAGAGACAGGGTTCGACCCGGGAATGAACAGTTTTTTAATTTTCCGAAATTGAGGGACTGTTGGATGAAACAAGAATATGCTAGAATAGGGGACGAAGGGGAATAAAAGTAGAGAAGGTCCTATTGGGCAATCGGATGTTGCCTCCAATAAAGATAGCATCGCATTGTAGAATTAAAATAGATTCTGAAATGAGATAAATCTAGGACTGTAAAAAACCGAAAGGCCGAAGACAAGGAAAGTCTACAGTGCTCCGGCGGGTGTTAGTTGAGGTGGAGCAGGTGTGTGAGATAGGCCCCGACGAAATCGAGTTCTCTGGACTGTTGGATTTGGTACGATTTCACTGATAAGCGAATTCTCAGGTGTAGGACATGTTAGGACGATAGAGCTCGATGCTAGTAAAAAGGATAATCTCATTTAAGTTATGGTCAGTCTGGATATCCTCTTCCTCTGCCTTCTGTTCTTATCTATGCACATGTACTGGCACGAACAGGGGGACTATTCTCAACACCTGTCAGTGGTGTCCCCTACAAACCTCCAGCTCTCACTGTAGAGTCTGCAGAGCCGAGATTGAGTAACAAAGTCCTCACTTCGATGAGGATTCCCAATCGCTTTCGCCGTCTGTATCGTCTTCATCTCTCAACACATTCCCCCATCATCACTATCATGAAGCTAACCACGATCAGATCAGATGGTAGGGTCGGAGCCCTACTCATCACTAACCCTTGATCATGGAGGAAAAGCCATCCGACGAGTTTCCGGAGCGTACCAAGCACCCGATACGGAGATGGCGGATTGGATCAAGTCGGCCTCGAATGTTACAAAGAAGGGAGATATAGATGAATATGCGCACCTCATGTGGTCCTGGTCTCTAGCCCTCGCCTGGCTGGGCTGCAGGCTTTTTTGAGACTTTTCCCCGCGCACGCAGTTTCCATTGCTACCTTTTTTTTTTTTTTTTTTTTTTTTTTTTTTTTTTGGGTAAAAGGTTCCGTGGAAAAGGTGGCTGAATACCACGGATAAAAACTGAGCTGAATGGCTATTCACCAAGGGCAATATGTCAATGATCTTTCAAGTAACAAAAGAGGCAAGGAGCACTGTACAAGGTATGGCCTGGGTCAGAGAGGAGCCCAATGTGCTAGATGGTCATAGACTCAAGTAGTACAATAAATGACACACATATTTTGGCACGAACTTTCTTGGACTGGTTATGTTCGTACATCGCCTTAGTCATGTAGCTATGACGAAATAATATCAACACGTGTATTACATTTTAGGTCTGATAGTTGAGGAGTGTTTACACCTGACAGGACAAAGAATGAACGCCTGTACGCGGTGCTTTCTATGAAAATGGGAGTGAAATATTCTCTTTTAGCCAAGCACAGTGGAGTTTCGCAATACCAATGAAGTTGGCCCACGAGGCAATGATTCAAAATACTTCACCATGTCAAATTGTCACACCCAACGAGATCGATTCCTATCTAAGTCTCGTCAAGTCTACAAATACGACCAAGTACATCCTCATTCCCATGACCACACATCTCTTCGACCTTTTCTAGCCTTAGCAGGCCATCAAATACGCGCCAACCCCGATATTTACAAAGTTGGTAAGATGGTGCCGAGGATGGATACAATCCGAATGAGCGTGAAATTTCGAATTTTGGCAAGGACATTTTACAAGTTGAGCTTTGTGTATGCCAAGGCTTCGGTTGCTAAAGTACAGGCGACACTGTAAACACCGCCATAATTGGATGGTGCGGTGGTACACCATCTTGGCCGGTCTTCCAATTAGAGTCTGGATAGCTTGGACACATATTCCAATCGAGACGGTAGATCGCCCGTTCGAACCTGGCAAAACACAACTGCATTTCTCGCGTCGCTGGTATATATGGATGATGAAGGCATGCTTGGATAATTGAAGGTTTTGATACGTCCCATTTTGGGTACTTACGGAGGAGAACCGACTGTTCAGTGCACACTAAAGCACCTGAGGGTCGTATTTATGAATAAAATCAAAAATTTGGGTGTATCTATATTCAAAAGAAAATTTCGTTACATTAGATTTTAATTGCGTATATGCTGAAATTATTGAGTACAGAGATAAATCAGTGATGGTTAATGGTAGTTGTTGATGAAGGGTTTGGATGTTGAGTTTCCTATTATTTCTGTGTTGGTATACACTTTGTCGATCCCACTAGCCTCGATAATTAGTAGTCCCGACCGACTGGTTTTTGGCGAACGGAGATTGCGTATATCCAGTGTTAGCGTTGTTTACTGCTATTCATAGGAGTGAGTGAGTGAGTGTATATTGTCCTAATGAGTCTATAACTATGCAAGGACATGTAGGTCCTTTCTGCCTACAGGCCGGGAGTATCTATGCTTCGGGTAGTATTACCCCCTCCGATGCCTCCTTCACGAGGTCTTTCCAGCAGTAATACTCCCACAGCTCTTCATTCGAGTACACACTAAGGGGAGCCGTTATCCCGTCACTATCTCTCATCTCCAGCCAACTAAACGATGGCCATTTGCGGGTGTGTAGCTGCAGGGAAAAGTCTCAAAAACCACTGGGCGCGGAGCTCTCCTATGACGAAGAGGCCGGCCAGCCGGGCGCAGTAGACCTGTGTATACCTAAGAGCGCCTCTCAACCTTCCTAGCCTCCTCCTTGCTCCTCCCCTGATTCATGCCGCAGGACAAATCGTAGGTCGTGAAAGGATGTCAGAAAAGTCTTGGTCGAGAATGATAGTCGTGAAGGAGCCTAGCCTAGCATCCAAAAGTCGTTATAGATGTTGGGTCGTCGAGTAGCTCATGTTTTTCAGATGCCCTCCTGGCTAGTAGATTCAGAAGTTGAGATTAGTGGGGACGATATCGTAGACGAGTTGAAATTTGCTTTTCTTGAAGGCGGAAGGGACTTTTACTATGCTTTCGTGGGCTTTTTGATTGCCCGCCGGTGGGTAGCACATGTTGTGATATAACGAGGGCTTCTCTGACTACCGTTGTAGCGTTCGGTACCACAATATCTTTACTCATTCCCAGCATCATTATCTTCGTCTTGGTCGTCTTATAAGTAATCGGAAGCGTGTCCTTGGTGGAGGGGGAGATAACTCAGCTCAAAGTTGAAAAAGTGTTACTCAATCTCGGCTCTGCAGCCTCTACAGTGAGAGCTGTGGGTTCCTTGGAGATACCACTGACAGGTATTGAAAATGGTCCCCCCTGCTGTTAATAGGAGATCACGCACAGGCTATCTATTGGGATTAAAAGAAGTCTGGTACCTGAGTTTCGAAGAGAAGTCGGTTTGACATACTTTTTTTCATGATTGCATAAGCTTCCCTCTACCAATAAGTCCATGAACTATGTAGTGGGTCATATTTATAATATTCGCGACAATCTTATTTCCTTTAAAATGACACGTCCGCATCACTGCAAACAATGCTCTGGTAGTGGCAAACGCGCTCCGCAGTCTTGGTCACACATTAAGTGGCGCCGCCTCTAAACTCTTACGCCAAGCAGTCACCGCCTGTGTAGCCCCTATCGCCTATTATGGAGCTGACACGTGCTATCTCCCCGAATCGGACCGTCTCAAACTTAGTGAAGGGACATCTTTCCCTCTTTCAAAAGGTTGTGAGAACTAGCGCAAGAGTAGTTCTTTTCGTCTACCGAACAACACCAGCTGGCGCGCTTTACAGAGAAGCAGGTCTCCCCCATCCAGAGATCGCGTTGGACTCAGAATTCCGTCAAGCATCCCTCTCCATACATTGCCTCGATCTACGGGACTCTTTCTACCGCCCGAACGTTTGGATCCTAAGCCAACATAGACGTGTCTCACGCCTTTCTGAATGGGTCCTAAGCCTCCCGCTTACGGAGTATTTGGACCCTCTGGTCAACTCTCCTTGGTTAGCAAAGGAGAGTTGGTTCTCAAGGACTAGACGGGTCACTATTGTCTTATATCAACTTCCTGAGGGGATCCCCTCACAAGACTTAGTTGTATATTCCGATGGTAGCCACTTAAAACCAGCTTCAGGACCTTGTGTCGGATACGGTTTCGTAATCTTCCAAGCAGGTCATATGATCTGCGAGAAAAGAGTACCTCTTAGCCCATTACTCGAGATATTCGATGCGGAAGCTATAGAAGCTGCAGCCGTTTTAACCGCTGTAGAGACAGCAATAGATCTTCCATCTACAAGCTTTGCAAACAACTTATGGGTCCTACTCGATAACCTAAATGTCGCCCAACAGCTTTTATCAACCCCGACATGCTTTTTTCAAGATATATTCAACAAATTCGCGTTCAAGGCTCAAAATGGCTATGCCGCACGCGTCTACCCCATACTATTTCAGGTGAGGTCCGAGATCATTGGATCCCAAACCACTCTGGACTCTTCGGTAACGTTCTAGCTGACAAAGCAGCGAAAGATGCTTTGGCCATGCCGCACCCGTCCCTATCTTCACTCATAGTTGCCTCGGCAAAAGCTTGGGTCAAGAATATAACAATAAAAGCTCACAAAGAGTATCGGGCAAAGCATGCCCCTCAGTCATATCAAGACTTGGAAATCGAGTATCCTGTGCGCTACCCCTTAGAGCTATCACTACTTCGATATCATACCGCCGATATATA